GTTGTGGAAGTGGAGAGAAGCACAGTAGAGCTGGTAATGGTGTTTTGGTTAGTGAAATAAAAACATGAGACAGTTTCAAGAGAACTACGATCTCACATCCAGGGGTGGTGGTACATGTCTACAGCCTGAGCATTTGGGAGGCAGAAGCAGGAGTTTGAAGCCAGCCTGGGCTTTAGAGCAAGACCCTGTCTCAAAAGCCACAAAAGAAAAGAAAAATGCCAGCTTTGACCCATGTTTGACTTTCTGCCTAATTGGACTTGGGAGATGTAAGTAAATACAAAAGCTAATTCATGAGGCTCTAGTGCACTCCCTGGGAGGCATTCTTCAGGTCTTGGGCCGTTGCAGGTTTTCTTGCCTCTCAAGATCCCTAGCCCAAGAGATGCTTTGTTTAAACTTGATCAAGTGTTGATGACTCTTTCTAGCCCAGGTAAATCATAACTTTGGAAAAACTTGCCTTTTTTTCTCTCCTGAAAATCAGAAGACAGCTGATTTGGATCTCTTAGGGTGTCCGATGCCTATATAAATACACAACGGAACCGGATCCATTTACCTGTGAGTGCCAGGCCTGTTGTTTGCCAGGGTTGTATTATTAGTCTATCACGTTTCTGAAATCTACACCAAGAAGAGCAAGTAGGCTCTTGAAGGGGCCAGGGGACAGAGGAAGCAAAGAATATGCTATTGATTGTTGGCTGGTTTAATTTCCTATGCAAGGTTTCTGATTGGGCATATCCCTCGTGGCATGCTCCTGGCTCTTGTTTGTGGGGGCCTTCTAGACCCCGTTTCCATGGCAGGTTATTATATCTTTCTGGCTCTGAATTGTCTCATCAGTTCAAGGCCTTTATTTTACTGTTTTCTCTATAGGAAGTTCATACACTGGGTAGATGAGAAGTGTTGTTTTATCCTTGATCAGCTTAACAGCACAATGGTCTAGTTGGTTTTTCTTTTTTTGAGGGGGTGGGTGGGGGTGGTACTGGAGATTGAACCTAGGATGATGTACTTGCCAGGCCCAGCAGTATCTTTGATACTGTCCTGGAATCTAAAAATTTAACTTGCTATAAATGTGTAAACTTTTGGGGTATAGAATGGCATTTTCTCTCTTCTAATTCCGTTAGTGACCTTGACCTATATAGGTGCTGCCAGCCCTCAGAGTGTGTGTGTGTGTGTGTGTGTGTGTGTGTACGTACGTGTACACGTGTTAGAGGGTTGCTAGTCAAGGACTCTGCCATACACCATCTTGGGACTGCTAATCCTGACATCATGATCACTGCCCTCGGGGCATGCCTGCTTCCTACCATCGCCAGGGATTCACCCCTTCTCACCACCTCTGCCACGTCTCGGCACCAGCTTCTCACTGCATCCTCTACACCACACTGGCAATCTCCCTGCATGCAGCAGCCGAGAAGGGCTCCTGGCTCTGAGCTCTGAAACCCTCATACTAAAGCCAAATGCTGAGGATTGTTTCTGTCCCCTCGCAGCGCTCTCTCCACCCCTCCTGCCCCACTCCGCAGCTCTCCCTCTCCACCCCTCCTGCCCCACTCCAGCCGCAGTGGCGCTGTTGCTGTCCCTCAGGCACGCCAGACGCTCTTCTGCCTGGCACACTCCCCAGATGTCCCTGCTCTCCTTCTGGCCTCCTGTAGGTCTCCACTCCAATGCCACTTGACTGCGAGCGAGGCCTCTTGTGGCCAGCCTGCTTAGAATAATCTGCCCTTTCCTGTCATTTTCTGTTTTGTAGTTTAGTACCACTTGACACATGATTGGCTTTGTCTTTTTCCTTTAGAGAAGCTAAATTCCATGAAGGAAGGTATTTTTCCCTGTTCGTTATAGCCAGCCCCCAAATCCAGTGTAAAGAACAGTGCTTGGCACAGAGTCTGAAGTGGAAGTTTTGCTTAGTGACTAACAGTAAATTATGGAGCTATTAGAGGTATCACCTGAGTAGTAGACGGAAAGGACTTAAGGTGAGCCCCTGACTAACTTCCTGCCTGGCAGACTCCTGGGTTTGGGAGGCAGACATAGGAACTCAAAGAGGCTGAAATGGCTACAGCGTGCCCAGCATACCTTCACCAGTGAGCGCTCTGCACAGAGAGCACTTCCGAAGGCTCCAAAGGGATCACCTTTTTGGCAGTGTACTCCTTAGAGTGAGGCTCCTTGAACCTGGATAAAGATCAGCTAATGGAAGCAGCCCAACTGCCAGAGTCCACCCAAGTTCACAGAAACCATGAGAAAAACACCTTGGGGATAATTGGACCAGGCAGTGGAAATGGCCAGCATGCTGACATGTGTGGGAGTCTCAGCCAGAGAAGACCCAGACAAGAGAAGCAAACCTATAAGTGACAAACAAGGATCTTACAGCACCAGCGTAAATAACTTGGGATGTGTGAAGGACAGTAAGACCCAATGAGAAGTAAGTGGAAGATAACCAAAAGTTCCCCAGAAGAAAAAACATGACCCAAAAGGAAAATTGCACTTCTGGGATCATTAGCAGGTCAGGCACTACGGAAGAAAGCACTCCTGGAACTTGAAGACCCACAAGGAGGAAAAGAATGTGGACAATGCTAAAGCAGGCCAAATTGGTGGAATTTGAGTTCCCTCCAAAATGTTGGAGGAGTGCTGTCTAGATCTTCAGAGAAAACTAAAACTGCTGATTCACCCATTTCCATAAACTAAGCAAATTAGAATGAAAAACCATCAGGTACATCATCACCAAATATTTATGGTCCACACATACTAGCATTTAAGGAAGACATTTGCCAGAGTAGATTTAAAAACATAACCTAACTATATGCTGACTACAAGAATTGTGCTTTAAAAATGAGGATATGGCTGGGTGCTGTAATCCTAGCTAGTCAGGAGGTTGAGATCTGAGTTTCAGAGTTTGATGCCAGCTTGGGCAGGAAAGTCTATGAGACTCATCTCCAAATAACTACCAGAAAAGTTTGAAATAGAGCTGTGGCTCAAATGGTAGAGTACTAGATTTGAGGGGTGGGGAGGGAAGCTCAGGGATAGCACCCTGGCCTTAAGTTCAAGCCCCAGGACTGGTGTGCATATGCACGCGCGCGCACACACACACACACACACACACACAAATATAGGTAGAGAAAGGTAAAGGGATAAAGTTATACCATACAGAGACTGATCAAGAGAAAGCTGGGATGGGAGGGGGGTGTGGCTAACATGGTAGAGCCCTTGTTTAGAAGCACAGGGCTCTTGAGTCCTGAGTTAAGTGTTCATGCTACAAGAAATACACACACACATATTGTAGTTTTATGTTTATTTGTAAATTTTGTATATTTATATATTAGTCTCAGTGGCATTATTATTATAATAATAATTATTATTATTACTTGAGTACCAGGGCTCAAATGCAAGGCCTGAGTACTGTTTTATAATTTTTCTGCTCAAAGCTAGTGCTTTCCCACTTGAACCACAGCTCCACTTCCAGCTTCTTGGTGGACTCTGGGCTTTTCCCACTGTAGTTTACAGTTGTGCTGCTTTCTCTGGCCAACTGAGTCATCTGATTTCCAGCTTCCAGAACTGTTTCCATTGCCCTCTTCTGCTCTCCCCGGGGGCCAGTTTGCCTGCCTGCCTGCCTCTTTTCTTCCTTCCTTCTTTTCTCCCTTTTTTCCTTCCTTTTTTCTTTCCTTCGTTTCTCCCTTTTTTCCTTCCTTTTTTCTTTCCTTTTTTCCTTCCTTCCTTCCTTCCTTCCTTCCTTCCTTCCTTCCTTCCTTCCTTCCTTCCTTCCTTCCTTCCTTCCTTCCTTCCTTCCTTCCTTCCTTCCTTCCTTCCTTCCTTCCTTCCTTCCTCTTCCATTTTTGTGCCAGTACTACCACTTGAACTCAAGGCCTGGGTGCTGTCTCTTAGTTTTTTCCTGCTCAAGGCTAGCTCTAACACTTGAACAACAGCTCCACCTCTGGCTTTTTGGTGGTAAATTGGAGATAAGAGTCTCATGGATGTTCCTGTTTAGGCTGGCTCTGGCTTTGAACCATGATCCTCAGACCTTAGTCTCCTGATTAGCTAGGATTACAGGTATGGAGCCACCAACTCTTGGCTTGGCTTGGCTTGGCTTTTTTGTTGGTCATGGGGCTTGAACTCTGGGTCTGGGCACTGTTCCTGAGTTCTTCAGCTCAAGTCTAGAGTTCTACCACTTTGAGCCACAGCACCACTTCTGGTTTTCTGGCAGTTAATTGGAGATAAGAGTCTCACAGACTTTCCTGCCTGGACTGGCTTTGAACTGTGATCCTCAGATCTCAGCCTCGTGTAGGTAGGATTACAGGCGTGAGCCACCAGTGCCCAGCTTCTCTTTCTTTTTTAATCATATAAAGCTTAGGACTGTCACCGGGTGTTGGAGGAACTGCTTCGTGGCGTTGTTGTGTGTGCACGTTGCTGCGTGTGCTTGTCATGTGGCACTGACAGAACAGCCTGTTTCTGAGGTCGGTGGTGTGGGGAAGCAGTGCTGCAGGAGCACGCCCACTCAGCCGCCCAGCCTCCTGGCCTCCTGCTTCGGGAGGCAGCGGGGCTTCTGCTGCTGATCCAGGGGCGGTGGCTTGATTTGCCTTCTCCCAATGGTTGTTGGCATCAGTGTCCCTGTACAGAAGGTTCCCGTTGGAACTCCCAGCCCTGGCATTCTAGGCTCAAGATCTGGCCTGCCCACCCATGTCCTCCAGCCGTCTGTCGTCCTCCCACGCCACCCGCTGTTCTTGGCATCCTGTGGGGCTCTGCAGCCCCCATGGCTTTGTTGTTCTAGTGCTCCTGCCCCCTTCTTCCTACTGGTAGTTTTCAGCCCCCCACCACTTCCCGCTGAGTCTGTGACTAGTCCCTTCTGCTTTCCTCCCGAGACAGCCTGTGTGCCTCATCGAGCGCCTTGCTCTTCCCGCCCCGCCGGCCAGGCCAATTTGGTGTCTTTTAGCTCTCTGTGCCTCGCACAGGGCGGGAGTCTGTGACGTGTCTGGATGAGTTCTTGGTGCCAGAGATTTCAAAAGAGAACTCTTTATCCTTTTTTGTAGGACATCCGTCACGAAGCCAGTGACTTCCCGTGCAGAGTGGCGAAGCTTCCCAAGAACAAAAACCGGAACCGGTACCGGGACGTGAGCCCCTGTGAGTACCCGCGCTCGCAGCCCCTTCCTCAGCCCGGGCCTTGCCCGGCCTCCTTCGGCCCGCGGGCCAGACTCTTGTGGAGATTAGTCACTGCTGTCACACGTCAGAAGGGCACTGGCCACTTAGAGTAATGGTTCATTCTCCACCACTCTGGAAGGGGGAAGGTTTCAGTTTCTGGAAAATTCTGCGAAGTTGAAAGCACTTGTGTTTAGCTTGGGCTGTTGTGTGATGAGTCATTCTCCCACAGCTGAAGCAGAGTGCGGCGGCCGCGTACACAGCCTTTCCCCCGGTGACTCAGCAGCAGAATTGTGCCGAACGTGGTGGGCGCCCACTGCCCCCCACTTCTGCCGGTTCTCTTCCCCACCCTTCATTCTCACAGCTGTCTTCCCAGAGATTGGTTCTCTGCCAGTGCCTTGAAAAGAAGTAGCCGGACAGGTTAGGGTTTGTGGGAAGCGGGGAACTCGGGGGCTGAGTTCGGGGCTGGACATCGCCAGGCCTGGCAGGCCTCAGAGGCCTGGCAGACCCCTGCAGGACCTGTAGACATTGTCCGTCTGCAAGGGCTCGCGGCAGCTGATGCCTCTCAGACAGTCGCTCCCGTTCCTGGGAACACTGAGGAATGGGCCTGGAATTGGTGCAGAGTTTGTGCCTCTCAGCCCGGTGCCTGGTGCACCTCAGCCCTGCATCACTGCGGCACATTATGCCCCTTTCTGATTGGCAGTAAAACAAGTCGCACTCAGCCTGTCACAAGCTGCCTAGCCTGGGGTCTCACTCAGGTGTGAGTGGCGGTGAATATGGCCGCCGGGCCATCTTCAGTACCCCGCCAGGGCCTCGGGGACACTGGCTCATGCCTGGCACCCGGTGCTCTTGCTCTGGCACTCTAGGCTGCGGCCTCTCCCTTGCCCATTGTTTAAAATAGCAGCAGCTCTGCTGTGGAGTTCTGTCCTGGCAGCTGGCGAGTGTGACAGGACAGCCACTGTTCACCCTTTCCACACTCAGGAGTGGGTGAGGGCACAGCAGTGTTCCCTCGCCATGTTTGACTCCTTTCTCTCACCCGTTCCCCCGCCGCTCGTGCTCTCCAGCAGAAAAGTGACTTGCTGTGGGGGCTGTGGCAGAGCAGGAAGGACACCTGGGTTGGCGGTGGCCTGCTGCCCAGCTCTCGGGGCTGGGGGTGACCCTAACAGTGCTGGCCCTCGTCCTCCACAGAGCAGGGCTCTGCGCAGCCGCCACTCCCTCCGAGCATGCCTCCCCTACCCGTAGGGCTTTCCCAGGCTCGTCCAGGGCCACTTGACCTGCTCAGCACACAGGACTGGCCACCCCACATCTCCTGAGTGTCTCCCTTCCCTCTAACCTCTGTGATGAGGAAGGCTGTTCTACACCGAAGCTCGGCCACATAGCACACAGCCCAGTAACGTCTCCTTTTCCTGTGGCTCTCATGCAAGATGCTGTGTAAAGGAGTCACTGAATCCCACGTCCCCTGGACTGGGCCAGAAATAGAAGGAACCGCCTGCTCTTGCCACCCAGTAGGACAAGAAAATGGCTCTGGGTGACACTGCTTGAGGCAAAGTAATGATTTGGCAGGAGTGTGGGGGAGAGTTGGGGGATGGATATTTGGGTTTTAGTTTTTTTGTTGTTGTTCTTTAGTAACCTGGGGCAGAACTTCTAAACTTGTATGCCTTCAGTGTTTTGGGCTTGGGACTGTTTCATTTCCAGTTAAAATCTTTTAAATGTCTTTTGTTCTTTGGGGTTTTGTCTTGATTTGTGGGTATATGCCTCTCCTGGGCTTGAACTCAGGGCCTGAGTGTGGTCCTTGAGCTTTTGTACTCAAGGCTAGCACTCTACCACTCGAGCCACAGCTCCACTTCTGGCTTTTTTGGTGTTGAATAAAGATAAGAGTCTCACAGGCTTTCCAGCCTGGGCAGTTTCGAACCATGATCCTCAGATCTCACCCTCCTGAGTGGCAAGGATTACAGGCATGAGCCACTGGCACCTGGCTTGTTCATTTGTTGTTTTTTGTTGGTCATGGGGCTTTAATTCTGGGCTTGGGCACTGTCCCTTAGCTCTTCAGCTCAAAGAAAGGCTACCTCTTGAGCCACAGCGCCACTTCCAGTTTTCTAGTGGTTTATTGAATGTAAGAGTCTCACCAACTTTTCTGCCCGGGTTGACTTTGAATGGTGATCCTCAGATCTCAGCCTCCTGAGAAGCTAGGATTACAGATGTGAGCCACCAGCACCCGGCTCATTTGTTTGTTTTTTTTTTTGAGGCAGGGTCTTACTCTGTGGTTCAGGCTGCCCTGGAATTCTAAAGCTTCAGCCTTATCTTCTCAGGTGCTGGGATTATAAGCATACACCATTGTGCTTGTCTCCTCTCCAATTGTTTTGATAATGAGATATGAAAGGTTTAGCGTCATCCAAGTTCATTATACTTGAACTTCAAAAATTTCAAAAACTTGTTTAAAGGACTTCAAGTTGAGCCAGGTGCCAGTAGCTCACGCCTGTCATCCTAGCTACTCAGGAGGCTGAGATCTGAGAATCACAGTTCAAAGCCAGCCCGAGCAGGAAACTCCATGAGACTTTTATCTCCAACTAACCATCAGAATACCAGAAGTGGCACTATGGCTCAAGTGGTAGAGCACTCACCTTGAGCTGAAGAGCTCAGGGACAGTGCCAGGTCTTCAAGTTGTGACTGTGCCAGTGTGGACACTGACCCTCCAGCACTAACCTGAGTCTGCTTTGCCTTTCAGTTGACCACAGTCGGATCAGGCTTCATCAGGAAGATAATGACTACATCAATGCCAGCTTGATCACCATGGAGGAAGCCCAGAGGAGTTACATTCTCACCCAGGTACACCGACAGCCCGAGCTATGTCTTCAATGGCAACCTGAATTTCAGGATGCTGCTGCCCACGCCTTTAGAGTGTGGTTTTTCATTTGCCAGAGAGTGCCACAGAAAGCAGGAAAACCTTCTTCAAGACACTCAGTTTGGTGGCACTGGCACTGTTTCTGGGGCATGTGAAATGGGTTGCTGAGAAAGGAAGTATAAGAAAACCTGGACGAAATTGCCAGTGGTCTGTTGGCCAGGACAACAGAGCCAGGGCCAGAGGACGGCCCGCACCTGTTGGGGATTTGAGGTTTGCCATCCAGCACTCCTACGGCTGATGGACAGGTCAGCAGAGGCTGGACATCTCTGGAAGAAAGCCAGTCAGTCTTGCCCTGAGCTCATTCCGTGCTCACTAGAGTACAGGAACGCGCAGGGAGTCACCCGTGTGCCGGTGTTTCTCGGCACCTCTGGGAAAGGCCATGGAAGTGGCTTGTCACAGAGAGGCCACGACACTTGGAGGGGGAGGACGGAAGGCTTCCTTTTCATCTGTTCTCTCCAGTCTTCACCTGTGCCCAAAGTTCGCTGTCACCTTTCTCTTTGGTCACCATGTGGATTTCCCGTCTCCCCCAGCCTCTCAGTGCCTACCTGGCTTGATCACAGGTGGTGGCCAAGTGCGTCCTGTGAGCCCCACACCACTTTGGGCTTCTCCACCGTGGCCCAAATCAGCCTGGAGGCTCCCATGGGTGGCACTGCGTTGGGTCTGTGGGGCAGAGGAGCGTTGGTGTAGGGTGCGGGCTGTGCTGGGCTGGCCTCCAGGGCCTGACTGCTGGGGTTGATACGGAAGGAACCTCCCGAGGGTGGATCTTTGTAGGAACCCCAAGTTCCTACTGACTTCTTTCAGCTATTCGACTTTGGTTTTTAATGCCAAAGGCAACAGCATGGAGAAATTCCCATGGAAGCTCTCGTGGCTCTTCCTCACCCCCTCGCTCTTCCTACTCAGCCCTCTTCTTCCTCCCACCACCTCATTACTTGGAACCTGTGGCATTGGGTCCATTTTCTAAGGTGGGGGCTGCTAAGCTGGGACTCTGCCCCTTCAGATCTCCCATCTCTCAGACCCATCTAACTAGGGTGGTGTACAGAGAGCTGCATGTGGAGGGCCAGCCAGTGGAGTTGGGCAAAGGCCCGGTGGCCAGCCAGGTGCTGAGGACTATTCCTTGCCAGGAGCTGCCCTTCTGTTAGCCGAGGACAGATCAGGCACGTGGTGGCTCAGGCTGGAAGGCACCTGTTGGGTGAGGAGGGCGGGCTCAGAGGAGAGCATGAGGCTGCCGAGAGCTGTGTGGGGGTAGGATCTGGAGATGGGGGCCCTTGAACAAGAGGCACAGTGACAGCCCCACTCCTCCCAGGCAGTGCTGATAGCCCAGGTCAGCGCCAGGCTCTGGCTTCAGAGCACCCACCACTAGGTGGTGCGCTCACCAACCCTGAGACCAGGGCACCAAGCCCCAGGACAGCCTGTGAACCACGTCTCGTAGATCCCTTGTCTCCGGGCAAAGGCTGCAATCGAACTCGTGGGTGCCTGGGAAAACGGTGCTGGCTGTCCTCCTGGACCATGCCTGCCCTTCTCAAGGTGGACGTAGCTCGTTTTCACGCAGTGGTGTCCTGATGGGATGTGGTCTTCGAGGCTGGTCTCTGTCCACACTGCCTGTCACCTATATATACTTGGTGGTTCTGTCCCACATTCTGTCCTCAGCTAAGAGTGGGTGGAGCCCCTCAGTGGCTGGCGCAGGCTGGGAGGGAGCATCTTCCGTATGTGGTGAAAGGGACCTTTGCTGCATGCCAGAAGGTCAGACGGCTTGACAGCAGCTGCCCACTGTGCAGAATGGGGTGGGTCCTGTGCCATCTCAGCCACCACTTGCGGCATGAGCCGGTGAGCACTGGGGGCACTGGCATCCACTCACCACCCATGTCTCCCACGTCACGGGGCATCTTGTGTTTGCAGGGCCCTCTGCCGAACACGTGTGGGCACTTCTGGGAGATGGTGTGGGAGCAGAAGAGCAGGGGCGTGGTCATGCTGAACCGCGTGATGGAGAAAGGGTCGGTAAGTCTGCTGGGCCGTCCGTTTGCCCATCCAGAAGCCACCATCGCGCCCAGCCTTCCTCCTCTTCCTCGCTTTATCCTCCCTGTGCGGGATAGCTTTGGTTTTAAAAATGGAATGAAGCAGAACATAGATACACTTGTTATAAGCAAGCAGATTATGTGAAAAAGGAGAGAAAAATAGACTTGGTCTTGGCCCTAGCCAGGCCTCCCAGACGTCAGCTGTCTCCTCCTCACCTGCTTCTCCCCACAGCCCCCGTGCCATGGACTTGGGCACCGTTGCTCTGCAGAACCTTCTGGTTGTCCCACCCAAGGCCGACCATGAGGAGCCGCAGGTTGGCGTGGCACTTTCCCCAGGGAGCCACGGCTGCTTGGATCTGTTGCCATTTATCGTGAGAGGTGGCAGTGTCCTAGTCTGCCTTCCTCTATGTGTGAGTGGGTGTGAGGGCCATGTGCGCTGTGGGACCTGCGTTTTCAACTCTGCATCAACATTGTCACCCACAGAAGGGCTGGCAGTGTCCCCGCTCATCTCCCAGCAAACTGTCCCCACAGCCTGTGGGAAAGCCTGCCTGCAGCTCCCATAAATGTGTGGGGCTCCCCGTCCCCTCTTTGTACACAGGGCAGGATGCACACTAACCATTACCTTGCCGGGCCTTGCACTTCCCAGAAGCCAGCTCTGCAGACAGGGTCAGCCAAATGCCCCGATCTTCACTGGCTTGCTCTTTAAGTTGACTCTGGACCTGTTGGCTAGGCTGGTGCTGTTGTCCAGGTGGGAGTGAGCTGGGGAGCTTAGCTTGACCTAGAGCGCGACCCAGGCTTCTTACCCTTACACTTAGACTTACACAGACGCAGATGGGAGCCTGGGCCCACACTTCCCTCTCGGACTCTTCTCTTGGTTCCCTGAGTTGGTTGGTCATTGGGAGAAGACCAGTTCTCTGTCAGAGAGCTATGGGGCAACTCCCGTGGGCTCTTCTTCAGATGCTCTGGCTGTTTGGAAAGCTCCCAGGATGTGCTAGCATCTGTCTTAGTGGCAGAAACAACTGTTGGGGACCAGGCAACATTGGCTGTGCCAATCAAACAAGGCCCTGGTTAGGTCCCAATGGCAGGCTGCTTTCCAGGAAGAGCTGGGCTCTTTGCAGTGGGGAACTGAAAGTGGTAATCTCCTGCCCTTTCTTTCTTACATTTTCTGTGTTTAAAACAAAAATTCGTATAGGCAGCAACAGAGCAGAGCTTGTTCCTATAGATGCCTAGTTAAACCCTAGTTGGTGGATGGACATGTGGTCTGGTTGTCCCTGGGTCACGGAAGGTGGTCAAACTTCTTTGGACTTCTAGAAGTTAGTGCTCCCTGGGGAGGGCTTGAACAGCTCATCTGCCCTTTTTTGGTAGTAGCAGGATTTGAACACAGGATCTCAATACTTGCTAGGCAGACAGGTGCTCTATCACTTGAGCCATGCCCCTTGTTAGGGAAAATCTTTTTTCATGTGTGCCATTCCTAGAGCTTGAACTCAGGGCCTAGATGCTTTTGTGCTCAAGGTTAGTACTCTTAACAACTTGATCCACAGCTCTGCTTCAGGATTTGTATTGGTGGTTAATTGGAGATCAGCGTCTCATGGACTTTACTACCCAGGCTGGCTTTGAACCTTGATCCTCAGATCTCAGCCTCCTGGGTAGCTAGGATTATAGGTGGGAGCCACTGGAGCCTGGCTTGGGGAGAACCTTAAACCTCTTTGGTCTCCTCTGTCGGGGCATGTTGTCAGTCCCTCTCCCTCCGACTCCAGCAGCGCTTCCTGGCCACCACCATCTTTGTCTGGATAGCCATCTATGAGCAGAGGAAAGCATGCCCCCAAATTGGAGTTCACTGTCCCTGTTTAAACTTCAAATGAACCAAATCTTTGGGTTTGTTTGTTTCAAAGAAAATCTTAATGATCACCATTAAGTCGAGATAATCGAGTAGATTCTGAACTTATAAAAAACCTACCACAGATATGTTTTGAGGAGTTAAACTAAACCAGGATGGGAGGGTGAGCCTGCTCCTCCCAGCCACCTCTGAGCAGGTCAGAGTTCCCGGCATCCTTTGCGTCCCTCAGCCTTTGTAAAGGCTCCCTCATCCATCCAGCCCCTTCTCCCTTGCCTGTGGGCTTCCTTGGGGGTAAAGCTCAGTCGGCTTGGCAGTGAAGGAAGAGGCCACATGAGCCTCTGGCCAGGGGCAAGCCCTGTGCCATGTAGCTGGCAGGCTAGGCTGGGTGGAAGGTCTGACCTCTGTCGTCTCTGCAGCAGACAGGACAGGGGGACTGCGGCCTCAGTTCATGCAGTGCTCACCACTGTCTCAGCACAACAGTTTCTTGCCCAGTAACCAAACTTCTTTCCTCTTCTAGTTAAAATGTGCCCAGTACTGGCCGCAGAAGGAAGAAAAAGAGATGATCTTTGATGACACGAATTTGAAATTGACATTGATCTCTGAAGACATCAAGTCATACTACACGGTCCGCCAGTTAGAGTTGGAAAACCTGACAGTGAGTGCGGGGGTCCTTCCCTGCCCTGGGGCCTGGGGTGTTACCTGTTGCAACGATCCTGCCCAAGAGAAGAGAGGTCTGGGTGCTAACTGAGCCTGAGAACACCTGTTCTCACCTGGAAATGATCCTCTTCCCCCCACCCCTCCCCATGCATGGGGGAACCGAACAGGTCCCTGAAGGTAAATGCTGACGGAACACATGGCCTTCCTGGCCTGTGGTCCGGGGTCTCCACCTGAAGATGCGCTGTCTCCCCACGGTCTCCAGTGTCCTGGGGTTATTTGCTCTGTGGACATTCGCGACACATTAGTGACAGCGAAGAGACAGGGCCTGTGCCCACCCATGGCGCCACAAGAGGCACAGGGGCCGCCGCCGGAGCCGGGCCTTCACCTGCAGTGTCTCCATTTCCTCTTCAGTCAGACTGGGGCTCACAGGGGCCTCAGAGTCCACACGGGGAGAGGCAGCGGGAGCAGTCCAGAAACCTGTCTGTGGGAGTGTGGGGGTGCCGGGGCTGCTGCACCCTGCCAGGCGGTGCTGCATGGCCTTAGCAGGGCCCACAGAGGCCTGGCAGGAAGGGGACAGCCAGGATGAGCCCTTTTTTTCCGGTCCTGGGCTTGAACTCTGGGCCTGGGCACTATCCCTACCATGTGAGCCACAGCACCACTTCTGGCTTTTTCTGAGTAGTTTCCTGGAGATTAGTTTCCTGCCCAGACTGGCCTCGAACAGTGATCCTCAGGTCTCAGCCTCCTGAATAGCTGGGATTTACAGGTGTGAGCACCCAGCACCCAGCGGGAAGGAGCCTTTCCAGCTGCCTGACTGCCCACTGCCTGCTGGGGGAAACAGGATTCACGGCACGAGATCATTGTGGCTAGGCAAAGCAAGCACCAGAAGCTCTGAGAGGTTTTTGTTGGTTGTTTTTTTGTTTGTTTTGTCAGTTGTGGGGCTTGAACTCTGGGTTTGGGTGCTGTCCCTGTGCTCTTCAGTTCAAGGTGAGCACTCTACCACTTAAGCCACAGTGCCACTTCCGGTTTTCTGGTGGTTAGTTGGAGATAAGAGTCTCACGGACTTTGCTGCCCTGGCTGGCTTTTTGTTTTGTTGTTTTGTTTGCCAGTCCTGGCACTTGAACTCAGGCTGGCCACTGTCCCTGAACTTCTTTTGCTCAAAGCTAGTACTCTACCACTTGAGCCACAGCACCACTTCCAGCTTTTTCTGTATATGTGGTACTAGGAATTGAACCCAGGACTTTATGCATCGAGGCAAGCACTCTACCATTTGGCCACATTCCCAGCCCATTGTTGGTTGCTTCTAAGACAGGTCTGACTGTGCAGCTCACACTGGCCTAGTACTCAACAATGTTACTGCCTTGGCCTCAACAAGTGCTGGGATTAAAATGTGTACCCCCACACCTGGCCACTCGTAGGGGTCTGATTGCCCCAGTAACTTAGTCATTAAAGGTCTTTCTCAGCTATGATGACTACTGATGCTTGGGCCTCTCGCAGAGGCTTTGTGAATGAGGCCAGGCTCAGGAGGCTGCAAGGGCTCTTTCAGGTCTTGAAAGAAGACTGGAGTTTGTCCTTTCTTCATTTCCAGTCTTTAAAATCTGTTTCCACTACTTTCTTCCCTGCCCCCCAGGAAAATGGTCACAGCATTCTCCCTTGTCTTCCCAGCATTCTCCCTTGTCTTCCCAGTTCTGTGGAGTCCTTTTGTAGTAAGAAGAGAGGGACTGCTCTCCACGCTGCAGATGAGGTCTCTGCGCGAAGCTGGGCATGTCCAACAGGCCCGGGTTAGCGATTCTTCTGTGAGATGGGCGGTGCCTGGGCCCAGCACCGTGGCAGGCACTTGGTAGACAGAGGGGCAGCTGGTTTGTAAGCAGGCCGGTGGCTTACAGCACGGCATTTTGGGCTGCACTGCAGGGAGGACAGGGCAGGCCTGGGGCTCCGTCCTCCCAGCACCTTGGGGCCTTGCTCTCCATGTGCACCGTATGGGTTTCTGGGAAGGTGGAGGAGGGGGCAGAGTGGACGCAGCACTCTGCACTTAGGACAGGGGTCCTGCACCCCTGACTGGGCTCCGGCAGCCTCGGCTCGCTGGAAACCGCAAGCGCGGTGTGGGCCCTGGAGGCAGGCAGTGTCGCCAGGGCCTCCTGTGTGCTGAGCTCCACGTGCAGCCCCACCTCAGAGACGGCTTTCCTGTGAGAAGTCCCAGTGGTCTTGCAGCCTGAGTGACCCAGTGCAGTCCCTTCCTTCCTCTGGGGATCCTGTGGGTGGCACTGGGGGTCGTCATGACCCGCGAGGCGCTGCGTGTGAGAGGTGGAGAGCGCGCGGGGCCACCGGGAGGTCGAGACGGAAGCAGCTGCACACTCACGTCGGGCACTTGCCTGGCACCTGGCGCAGCCTGTGCCTGGGTGTGGGGAGTGTGAGCCCGCAGTCACCCGGCGGGGCCCCTCGCGTGCAGGCCTGCGTGGGGAAGCAGTGGACTGCACAGATGGTTCTCGTCCCTCATTCCTATTTTTCTCTTCCAGACGCGAGAGACTCGAGAGATCTTACATTTCCACTACACCACATGGCCTGACTTTGGAGTCCCCGAATCGCCAGCATCTTTCCTGAACTTTCTTTTCAAAGTCCGGGAGTCGGGGTCTCTGAACCCCGAGCACGGCCCGGTGGTGGTGCACTGCAGTGCTGGCATCGGCAGGTCGGGAACCTTCTGCCTGGCCGACACATGCCTCTTGCTGGTGAGTGGGGGAGGGGTGGGCGTGCAGCGGCCCCACCCTGCAGCCAGGCTGCTCCTCAGGAGACACGTGGCCTTGACCTTGCTGCCCTGCCCCCCATCCGCCTTAGGCCCAGCACCGTCCCCGGGTTAACGGGGATCCATAGTCACAGCCCCCTTGCGCTGGTTCGCAGCCCCCCAGCCCTGGGTGCCGAGGGGCCAGTTGGGCTGCGTCTCTTAGGTTTCCAGGCTTCCTGCCTGCAGCACTGGTTTTCCTGGGTGGTAAGTCTCTGCCGGAGAGTTGCGCCAGCTGAACACATCCACTCTCTGCTTCCAGATGGACAAAAGGAAGGAGCCATCCTCAGTGGACATCAAGCAAGTGCTGCTGGAAATGAGGAAGTTCCGGATGGGCCTGATCCAGACGGCCGACCAGCTGCGCTTCTCCTACCTGGCCGTGATCGAAGGCGCCAAGTTCATCATGGGAGACGCCTCGGTGCAGGTTTGCGCCGCCCTGCTTCAGTCCGCTGCAGCGATTCTCAGGGTGGTGTGGTGGAATCCCAGGCGGGCTGGCTAGGCGAGCGTCTGGCCACTGAGCCCTACGTCCATGCTGGTCAGTACTGTCCACTCATGGCCTTGCCCTTCTCTTCCCAGGATCAGTGGAAGGAGCTCTCCCATGAGGACCTGGACCCCCCGCCCGAGCACGTGCCCCCACCCCCCCGGCCCCCTAAACGAATCCTGGAACCACACAATGGGAAATGCAAGGAGTTCTTTGCTACCCAGCAGTGGGTAAAGGGTGAGATGGAGGAGGACAGGCCCAGCAAGGAAGAAGCCAGCACCCTCTTAAACGCCCCCTACAGCTTGGACAGGTAATGCACGAGGGGCTCCTTGAGGCAAAGGGAAATGATGTTCCATTCCAGAAACACGCTGGCACTGAGAAACTATGGCACAGCCTCCCCTTGGCAAGTGGCGCTCCCAACCTGGTGGGTTCTATCGCCACCTTGTGGTGATGGCTGGAATCGGGCTCAGCCTGGCTGCCCGCCATGACAATGCCCATCCACAGTCCTCCTGACGGCGTACTTCAGTCCCCACAGGAAACTTTTCATGCACTCCTGATTAAATTTCATTTTGCTTCCTGGCACGAATTGAGTGCCCATTGATGCCCCATGATCTATGGTGTAGACCATGGTGTTGGGAAAGGCGAGCTCGGGGTGCTCTGTAGGAGTGGCGGTGGTCAGGGAAGGCAGCCACGGGAGGTGGCTGGCGCGTCGTGGGTAGCAGCGAGCCCTGTCCCGGGCCTTCTGTTCTAGAGGGCAGTTCTCAGGCTGCGAGCAGAAGCCAGGGAGGTAGCTGAGTGCCTGTGGCAGCCTTTGTAGGTCAGAAACTTGAGATGGCTGGGTGTTTGCTGCACTGAGAGCCAGGCGCACACCGTGCCCACCAGCACCTCGACCGGACTGGTCCTCATGGCAGCCAACCACCCAGGCTCCTGGGGCCTGCCCTGCATAGGTACTGCCCGAGGTACCGTCGCGACCTGTTGTTCCCAGCATTCTTCAATGATGAGAGTGTCCTTGGCGTCCATGTTCCCCAGGTGAGTAACCCTCCACCCCTCGTCCTGCAGCACACGGCAAGACACTGAAGTTAGAAAGCGGATTGCGGGCGGCGGGCCGAGAGGCCCCCAGGCAGCCTTCCCTGCCAAGACAGAGCTGTCTCCACCCCACGAGGAGGAGGATGCAGAGCAGCGGCCACCAGGCCACGCACCAACTCCCTGGAAGCCCTTCCTGGTCCACATGTGCATGGCCACGGTCCTCACAGCGGGCGCGTACCTCTGCTACAGGGTGTGTTTTCACTGACCGGTGTGTGGCCGGCGCGTGTGCACGAGGCACCGGCACAGCCCGGTGGTGGGATTTGGTTCTGTGGAGCATCTGAGCCAGTCTCAGAAGAAACAGGTTGCAAGTTCAAAAGTCCGCAGCAGCGGAAGGGCTACCCCGAGAACGGAGGACTCTGCACTGGGGTCAAGGAGCCCTGTGGTCCTAAGAATATAAGAGTCTAATCTCAGGGCCTTAACCTATTCAGGAGTAAGTAGAGAAAATGCCAAATACGTCTGTCTGTCTGTTTCTCCCTCTCTGTCTCTCTCTTAAACTTTTTTTTTCCTTTTATTTTGGTTTGTCTTTGGGAAAAAATGCAGAATTACAACACATTGTTGTTTTTAACCTTTATATATATATATGTATGTGTGTGTGTGTATATATATACATATATATATATATAAACAGCTTTTTTTTAATTTCTGAAGACTAGGCACTTACGACTTTCTCGTACGGGAGGTGGTGTAGCCAGATTTGTATTTGATTCCCGGGAAAGAATCCCAAACTTGATGAATGTCTGCTCCCTCGGAGAGGAGGCCCCTTCCCCCGCCCGTGCACGCGCCTCCCCGCTGCTCTCCCCCGCTCTCCCCCGCTGAGAAGGGGAGCCGGCCTCTGCGCTGCTGTCCCCAGTGCACGTGCACCTCCCTCCCGGCAGCCGCCGCAGCAGAACGCGCCCTGCTCTCCCTCACGGAGGAGAGGGTCTCGGAGGGCATGGAGACGCAGACTTTTTCTCTTAGGGGCAGTGTTTGCAGGTGGCGGTTACTGTTTAAAAATGCAAACCACGAAGCCCCTCTCACTGTGGAGGTTAGTGTTGCTCTTGCGCTGTGGCTCTGGGGCGTGGCCACGTTCGGGTTCAGCCTGACCCTCTACTGCCCACCTCGGCCCCTACTGCCCTGCCCGCCTCTGCCCTGCAGATACCTGTGCTGGCGGCCTGCATGGCAGGTGCGGCTGCCAGCCGGTGCAGGGAGCAGAGAGCCTGGAAGGGTGCTTGTGCTCCCCCCAATTGCGTCCCCCACGTCTTCCCCTCCTCCTCTTTCAGTACCAAATCCTTCACTCTGTGAGGAGGGCGCAGAGGCATGCGGCCGCTCCAGTCTTGGGGCTCCCCACACCGAGTGCTGCTGCGGTGGCACGCCCCAAGTGGGTGGCAGCCAGCACCCCCCCCTAGCCCCCCGCAGCCTGCGTGCTGTAAACCTGTCCGCTCTGTATTTATTTTTAATGTTCCCCCCAAAGGCATCCGTACCGCACTAGCGTTTTTGGAAGTACTGAGGCGTTTTTGCGCCAGGGCTTTTTGCAGTACGGTAATGAAATCCTCAGGTGGCGCCGTGGTCTCGTGGATCTGGCACGCGGGGACTGGGCACGGTGTGTGCCGTCCGGGGGCTGTGTCCTGGTCTCGGTTAGCTGCTGGAAGCTAGTTCTCGAATGCACACGAGGCGTGGCCCGGCCTGGCCCCGTGCCGGGTGCGGAACGAGCGCTGACTCCTGCTTCCTGCTGAGCCCTGGCACGGCCCCTTATGTGGCCCATTATGTGGCTGTGGCCCTGCGCCGCCGCTTAAGGAGCCATCCTTCACCCATGAGCCATGACACGGGCCTGAGTCCTGGCGTGACACTCCGGTGACTTCCGGCGAGGCCTGGCCCGGCTCTACGGACACTCAAGACATTCCACGGGTGTGGCCAGCCTTGCTCACACCTACGCTCTTGGACAGAAGCAGGACCCCCACTCGGGTCCCAGCATCCTCTTCCACATCCACGCCTTCTGGAGCTGAGCAGGTTGGACGCCAGGCGGCCGCAGGAAGCGCCTGGTGCCAGCCTGCCAGCCACTGCCATCTCTGCCCCGGCCCGCGGGGACCGACGGTGCTCGCCACTGGCTGCCTGACAGCACGGCGGCCGCGGCTCCCAGCTGCACCTGCTCTCGCCAGCATTTCACGTTTTGCCTTTCCCATGGGAGAAGCCGTCCAGAGCGACCCTGGGGAGCGGGGCTGTCCCCGCAGAGCCCAGGCCGCGCGGAGGCTCTGTGCGCGTGTCCGGCAGCCCATCCACCCGTGGAAGGGAGGGAGCGGGCTGCTCCGCTAGCTGCCTTCCTCGGTAGTTACTCATCAGGCCTTGCCTCTTCCAGCGGCCGGGGATAAACCGTTTTACAGACATAAACTTTACAAACAGCCAGGTGTTTCCAGGTGGGTGTGGACGGGGTGCATGCCGGGTGGGGTGGCTCAGGTTCTTCTGTGACCTCACGGAACCGTCGCTTGTACAGGTTCCCAACTCGCCATGTAAACGATGGGTTTGCATTTTAGTTGCAACAATAAATTTTTTTCTAAAGAACACAGACTTGGTGCCTCCACTTCTTCCGCTGTGGAGCTGAGTCGGGCGGGTCTGTAATCTGCGTGCCCCACCCCCCCACCCCACCCACCCCCACCCCCCACCCCCCGACACACAGGGCCCAGGAGCTCACCGCCGCAGCCGGCCTCTGCCCTGCCCCTTGGCGCCCTGCCGGGGCTCGGGCTCAGGGAAGCTGCCGGACAAACAATTCTCCTAACCTGTCACCCACCAGACATGGTGTAGTACCCCTGATCAGAAACGAAAGTGAGCACAAAAACTGTTGTACTTCTGTGTACAGAATTCACTGTACATCCTTCAAAGTGATTTGTGTGGATGTGTGCACACATTTGTGTGTGTGTGTGTGTGTGCGCGCGCGCGTGTGCACGTGCCAGTCCTAGGACTTGAACTCAGGGTATCAGTACTGTCCCTGAGCTTTTGTGTTCAGGGCTAGTGCTCTACCACTTAAGCCACAGCTCCACTTCCAGCTTTTGTGGTATTTCAATTGGAGATTAAAGAGTCTCATGGACTTCCCTGCTTGGGCTGGCTTTGAACTGCAGTCCTTAAATCTCAGTTTCCCGAATAGCTAGGATGAGATGACAGGTGTGAGCCATTGGCTCCAAAGTGATTCTATTCACTTCCTGTTTTGGAGTCACTCCTGCTTTGCACGCAGTCTCACTGTGGCCACAGCGCCCAGCAGACACAGGTGGCAGCCCGTACCCACCTGGTCCTGACAGGTGTCCCATGCAAACTGGCATCTAAGCGAGGAACAAGAGGAGAACCACCAGTGTGGAGAACCGGCTTCTGACACGGGGTAGATATGCTGTGAGGCAGAGGCCACTTGCCAGACACCCCCGGGAGAGGCTGGGAGCCTGGCGCACACAGCCAGTCCTGGGACAGCACCAGACAGCCCCCCACTCCCCCCGCATTTTCTGCACTTGAGGCAAAACAAAGTATCTGTGAAAATTGCTTTTAATGGAAATTTCAGAACATAGGCCATAGAACAAAGCAAATAAATATTAAAGCAGAACACAGTACATGGCACATAGAAGCAGAAAAATGAAAATGTTGCAAAGCTCAGCCACGCCATGGGGAGCAGCCATCCCAGCCCAGGCTGGCTCCGCATGGTGAACAGACGCTGCGGGACATGACATGGCTTTATCATTAAAAAAATACATTTACTGGGAATGGTGTTTCTTTAAAGCTACAGTCTGGCGTGAGGTAGCCTGAGTGCTAGAGAGCCCGCCCAGCAAGCACCGGGCCCCGGACCATTCAATCCCTGGTACTGCCAATAAATAAATAGAAGGCAAGAAAAAGCTACGCTCTGGCAAAGTCTTGCAAACCAGTGCTGGCTCTTGGAGCCCTGGGTTTCTTTAGCCAGCCTCAGCCATGTGGCGGCGGTGTTGGCCTGTGTGTTCAAAGGCGCCAGAATCAAGCCGGTCCCCGCCTGCGAAGCCCAGGCCCCTCGTCCTTGTCATGTCTTCCATCTTCGCGCTGCCGTCACACTTCACTGGCGTTTGGGCCATAGCCTGGCTGCAGTGTGGCTTGTACAGACCCCAGGACCTTGGCTTCACACCCCCACCCCGGCTCTCCAAGGGGACAGTTGGCTGCTGTTGAAGCCACTCGAGCCACCGAAGCATCGTAGACTGGGGGTGGCCGGCGGGCCCGGCCCGGCTTAATACAAGCAGGCAGCCCCGAGCCGTGGCATGCAGGAAGGCTGGTGCTCCACATGCTCTGCCTTGGCGTCTTTATGCAGATCTCCACCAGCCTGGCCCTGGCACCTGGCAAGCCACACACATGCAGAGAGGCAAAAGCATCCAGGACTTGCTGAAGCCAGCTACTTCGGAGGCACCGTGGGCACCCCTTTTCCTGCTCCACAAAAAGCTCCATTCGTGCCCTGGGACTTGCTACCAGCCAGCTACCCTGACCAGGCCCTGGGTGGAGACCGGATGGCGGCAAGGAAGCCACACCAGCCAAGACCTTTAAAAGACCGTGATCTCCACCTCGGCCTCCTGGTTGCAGAGTCCTCCCTGCAGTGAGCGGAGCTTGTCCATCTTCTCGAAAGCCCAGCGCCCTTTCTCTCCTGACACAGAAAGCTGACATTACTGGACGTCCCCACCACCGTGTCCTGCTCCGCCGGACCCTAGTGTGGCCCCGCTGCTCGAGCGCCAGGGGACCTCCACCCAGCCTGGCCCCACACCTGGGCAGCTGCCTGTGACAGCTGTGGCCAGCTGTGGCCAGGCGGCACCACGGGCAGGCGCGTTGCAAAGCCCCCTCCCACGAGTCCCCGCGCGCTTCCCCCTGGGAATCCCGAACCCCTCCCTCACCGAAGGACAGCGTGGCTTCCCGCGCCGCTGCTCGTACGGCCTCCAGGTCTGACTGGCACAGGCTGGCAATCTGATCCACACTCTCCGTGCCCTGTGGGAAGAGGACAGGTCTGCTGGGGGCATTTTGTCTTCTTTTGAGCCCAGGCTGGCTTCTGCGTCAGCCTTCCAAGCACTGGGGTCACGGCAAGGGGAGAATGAGCCCTCTGCACCCCCTGTCCCCCCCCCCCCCCCCCCCGCAGGCTCCTGGCATTGACCCCGCCCTCCTGGCCGCAGCTCTCGCGCCCCGCAGCGCCCTCTGCTGGCCCCGCGTGGCTGGACATCCGTCAGAGGCAGGCCGCCTACGATCTGTGCAGCAGCCGTGGTGATGTTTTGGAGTAAACTGCCAGTGGGGGGGGGGGGGGTGGAGGCAGGCAGCCCCTCACATCGGGGTGTGCAGGTGGGGGGAGCAGAGGGTCAGGTCCTGTACGGGCATAGGTCAGAGGCCCATGCTTTGTGCACAGCGCTGATGGGGTCATTGGGGAGCAGGAAGGGTGGGGGATAATGGCTGGTTGCTCACGTGTCATAAAATGAGGTCACACTGGGCCCCAGGTGCCTGCACAACCCCGTTCCTTGTGTTCACTTGTTAAACTGCCCAATGCCATCATAGGTTTAAATGCCCACACTCTCCACTAGCAAAAAGGACATGAGCCAAAACACCAGCCTGCGCTCGGCCCAGTGCCCGGTGGGCGTGGTTCCAGGGGCTCACTTTACTTTTTTTTTTTACTTTTGCCGGGAATACTTGCAAGCACTCGGAAGGCCCCCGCTCCTTGGCCCTTCACCGCACAAGCCACTCACCGCCTTTGCAGTTAGGCTGGCAGGGCCGCTAGCAACCTGACGTCCATGCCTTAGTGTCAGCCCCAGGATCGCTCCCTCCACTCAGCCAGGACGCTGGGACTCACCCTGAGCTGCTGGAGCGCCACACACGCAGCCTGCTGGAGCTTCGGGTCTCTGTCAGCCAGGGCATTGGTGTAGAAGATCAGAGCCTGGGAGGGGAGGGGAGGGGTAGGGAGGGGAAAGGAAGGGCGTGAGAGAGGGCAGAGGGCATGGGGGGGGGGTCTCCAGTCTGCATCCTCTAGGCATAAGCAGGGAGGGGAACCGTGCTCTGTATAACTTAAAAGTGCCTTGCGTGGCATGTGGGTGTGGTATGCGGCTGTCTAATGTGTGTTCAGCCTCCACACCAAGTCTAAGGCCCCAAAGAACAGCTGGCAATGAGGCTGGAGACCCCTGGGTCTGGGGTTACCCCTCCCCCCCCCCCCCGCAGGCTCTGCTGCCTGTTGTGGCCAAGGAGCCAGCCCACTGGGTTTAGAGCAGATTAAACCCAGTGAATGAGTGCTGCCATGGCTCAAAGCCAGCCTGGGCAGAAAAGTCTACAAGACTCATCTCTAAACCACTCAAAAAGGCCAAAGTGAGGCTGTGGCTCAAGTGATAGAGTACTATCCTTGAGCAAAAAGGTCAGGACAGTGCCCAGGCCCTGAGTTCAAGCCCTGGGACCAGCACACACAAAGTTAACGGGACCAAGAGAACTCGAGATACCGTGCAGGTGACATCTCAATGACGTCACAGCAGCCACTGTGGTTGTGTGGCACTCAGAGTGGCCTGGCACTTCAAGCCAGATCCAATCCCGTCCCTAGGCCCCAACCTCCGTGGATGCTGCCCTGGCCCCTGCCTTGGGCGTCTGTGCCCTGGTGCCCCATCACCTTTTCCCGGAAGCTTCTGTTGGCGGCGGCCCCGGCCAGGCGTGCCCTGGCCGCCCGGCACAGCTTTGGGCGCCCGTCCAGCTGCAGCAGGGCCCAGGCGCGCAGGGTCTGGGGCAGGGGCTGGAGCCGGCCCAGCCGCTTGCCCTGCAGCTTCCGGAGGGCCCGGGCCTGCCCTGCCCAGCGCAGCTCCTCCACCAGCACCACTGCAGGACAGCGGGGGGGGGGGGCAGGCTGTGGGTGGGGCAGGCAGGGTCCCCAAGGGTGGTCCCTCCAGGCTGGCAGCCAGTACCCGCTGCCCCCCAGCCCTGATCACGGTGCTTTTGAAAACCACCCCTTCCCCTCCCCCACTAGTCCCCTCCCCCCACTCTACCCACAGCTAGACACAATGTCCAAGTCACCAGAGCATGGCGCTGAGCAGCTCCCGAACCCCTGCCTGGCCCCTACCTTCCTTGGTGAGCTGGGCCAGGTGCTTGTCCAGCTCGGAGACACGCTGCCTCCGCAGGTAGCTGTGGAACTGGAACCAAGTGATTGTGCACTCCTCCGGGAGGCCGGCCGTGGGCAGCAGCCCACTGCAGCTGACCACCTGCTCCAAGAGCCTGTGGCACACTGGCCCAAGCGAGCCAGAAGGGGAAACTGAGTCCTCATCCAGCCGCTGAGTGGAGAAGGCTTTCTAACAGCAACCCCGTGGCCTGGCCACCGGGCTGCCGGACACACACAGGCTGTGTGTCTGCCACGCTGGACGTGGCCAGCGCTGAGAGCTGCCCCCGCCCCACAGAGGAAACTGCTGCGGCTGGCCCCTGGAAAGAGTGCAGCCAGCATTTCAGGACCCGGATGGCACAGTGCCCACTGCCTGCACCCCTCCTGGCATCCCTGACCCTTTTAAGGCTCAGGCAGGGGGCGGGGACTGTGTCTCTGGAGTTGGCACTTCTGGGCATTTGGGGGCCCGGCCGGGCACTGCGGGCCCTGACACGGGGACAGCAAGACTACCGTCCCTGTGCCCCGGGCCTGCCCTGCGTGGGATGGGCGGGGTCGCACCTATCTCCAGCTGTCCCGGGTACTTTCCGCGCACGCGCACTCGGGGCAGGACGGTCTTCTTGAGCTGGCTCAGGAGCGTGAGAGCCGGGCAGGACAGCACATGGCCAGGCTGCGTGCAGCCCCGCCACAGCAGCAACCAGTCCTTCCGGCACCAGGCCTGCGGGATGACTGAGAGCAGATTCAGAAGCCTGAGGCTGGGTGAGAACCAGCCACCACACCACAGCCCGGGACAGGCTCCTTCCTATGAGCCCCATCCTAGTGGGGAAGGAAAGCTCTGGGCGTTCACCGCCCGGCCCGTGCGCAGCGACTTACTCTCTTCCACACTCATGGCCTTGCCGACCTTCTCAAAGTCAAGGTCAGCAAGCACCTCCAGGACCTGCCTCTGCTGCTCCGCTTCTTCCAGAAGGTAGTCGTGGACCAGTGCCGACAAGTTAGGGGAGGCGAGTTTCTGGAAGGAGCCCAGGGCGCCCCGGTTACCAGGGAACGCCCTCGGGGACAGCCAGGCCGGGCCCTCGAGGCCGGGGGGAGGCCGCCAGGGGCCACTTTCCCATCAGAAGGGGCTCAGTTCCCAGGAGGACATTAAAAGCAGAGCCAGAGAAGGGTGAGAGTGGATGGGATGGCATTTGAACCCCTGGGCACGGCCGGACCTGAAGCCCGTCGAGCCACTACATTCTCCTTTTGGTTGAGCCCGTTTGGGCTGAGGTTCCGGCATCTACAAATGAACACAGCAGCCGAGGGGGGGGGGGGGGGTACACAAAGTCACATGACCCCTCACCCAGACCTGGCCTGCACCTGCACCTCCCACAGGGGGACTTCAAGGTCATCAGCCCAGAGGTGGACCAAGGCAGCCTGCACCAAATGTCCACTACCTTTGTAGCACAGCCAGCGCCCAGGTCCGCCCGGCCCCGCCCACCGCCCCGCCCCTACCGCAGCCCTGCCCACTGCCGCGGCCCCGCCCACCGCCTCAGCCCCGCCCCTACCGCAGCCTTGCCCGCCGCCGCGGCCCCGCCCACCGCCTCAGCCCCGCCCCTACCGCAGCCCTGCCCATCGCCGCGGCCCCGCCCATCGCCTCAGCCCCGCCCACCGCCGCGGCCCCGCCCCCACCCAGCCACCTGCAACAGGGCCTTGCAGACGTGGAGGTGGACGGTGAGAAGCACGTCGAGCTCGGGGTCCCCGGCCGTGAGCTCCCCATCCAGCTCGGGGTCCCCGGCAGTGAGCTCCCCCGACGTGCTGAGCGATGCGGGAGAGGGCGGGCCCGTCCTGAGCAGAAGGGTGGCCTTTCTCAGCGCGCTGCCTGCGGGCGGGGCGCCAGCAGAGAGCCTGGCCGGGGGCTGCACCCCGCGGCTCCCACGGGTGGAGGAGCCCAGCTGCGCCCGCAGGGCTCCCCGGGGCGCGGGGCGCGGGGTCCGGAGGGCGGCGCGCACTCACCCGGCGCCCTGGGCGCCCGCGAAGAGCGCCAGCTCCTCCGGGGCCAGGTGGGCCTGCAGGAAGGCGAAGCTCTGGAGGATGCAGTCCATCAGGCTCTCGGCCGAGGCCCGCCGCGCGGCCCAGGGCTGTGGACAAGGCCGCAGCTGAGGGCTGCCCGCCGCGCCCACGGCCGGCCCACGGGTGCATGCGGGGTGCGCCGGCCACCGGGCAGGGCCGCTGAGGTCCGGAACTCCCCGCAAGGTGGGGGGCTGGGGAGCCCGGCCCACGCCAGACACCCCACCCGTGGGCACAGGCCCGCGTGCAAGCTAGTGCAAGAATAACCAGGGGCCGGGTGCCGGTGGCTCACGCCTGTCATCCTAGCTACTCAGGAGGCTGAGATCTGAGGATCGCGGTTCAAAGCCAGCCCAGGCAGGAAAGTCCCTGAGACTTTTTTTTTCTTCTACTTTTGGTTGGTCGTGGGGCTTGAACTCAGTGTCTGCGCGCTGTCCCTGAGCCTCTCTGTGCTCAAGGCTAGCGCTCCACCACTTGAACCATAGTGCCACTTCCAGCTTTTTCTATGTATGTGGTGCTGAGGAATCAAAGCCAGGGCCTCATGCATGCAAGGCAAGCGCTCTACCACTGAGCCACCTTCCCAGCCCGTCTTTTTTTTGTTTTATGTTTTGTCAGTTGTGGGCCTAAACTCTGGGCCTGGGCGCTGTCCCTCAGCTCTTCAGCTCAAGGCTAGCACTCTACCACTTGAGCTACAGCACCACTTCCAGCTTTTTCCTTTTTGTTTATGTGGTGCTGAGGAATCGAACCCAGGGCCTCATGCATGCAAAGCAAGCACTCTACCACTGAGCCACCTTCCCAGCCCTCCCTCCCCTTCCCATCCAGTTTTTAACAGTGACTTCCATCTATTTTATATGAGGTGAAGGCTGGCCCACTACTCACGCTGGAGGCCAAGGGGTGCCCAGGAGCCCAATCTCCTCTCCAGGGAACCATGGCAGAAGAGGCTGCTGCTGCCCAAGTATTGGGGGCTCCTCCCAGTGGCAGCCCCCTCGCTAGAGACTGTGTGCATATGTGTGTGTGAGTGCACGCGCGCACGCACGCACTCTTGCATGCACACGTACTTCTAGAGCTTGAACTTAGGGCCTTGTGCTCTTCCTTAGCCTTTTCTCTCAAGGCTGAGACTAATCCTTTGAGCCACTCCTCCACTTCTGGCTTTTAACTGGTTAATTATAGAGCAGAATCTTACAGACTTTGCTGCCCGGGCTGGCTTCTGCTCACGATTCTCAGATCTCAGCCTCCTGAGTTGCTGGGATTACAGGCATTAGCCACTGGCACCTGGCTCCAGAGAGTCTTCTCTGTGCCTGAGCTGGCTCCAGGGCCGCATCTCAGGCCCTCTCAGCCCAGCCCACCCAGGACTTGTCCTCCACAAACCACGCCCAAGGCCCAACCAAGCAGAGGCTGCTCACGGCCAAACGTGGTCCTAACACGAGCCTGCAGAGAAAACCCTGAGCAACTGGAGAGCAAGGCTGGCTGGGGGCTGTGTGCAGCACAGGCGTGGAAGCCCTTGCTTCAATTCTAGTACATTCTGTGGTCACTCCAACACTGAGCTATGCAACCTCCCAGGGACACTGGGTCATAGGCCGGCAGATGCCAGGTCACAGTGTTTTCAGGAGTTCGTCACCATCAAGCCTTTGTGCAAGTTTTATTTAAAGACAGCTTTATGTGCATGGCCCTTGAGCTCAGGGCCCATAGCGCTCAGCTGGGATGCATGCGTGCCTGCCGGCTCTGTACACAGGGATGTGCAAAAGACACAAACATATGACCCGAGAGGCCGTGAACTGGACACTCAATTGCAGATGCACGAAGCAAGAAGACAGGGCTGTGCACGAAGGCTGCCATCCGAGCTTTTGCTACTGCAGAAGTGACTGGAGCGCTGCGTGACAAACAGCCAGCGGTGGAATTCCAGCATGCAGAAAAGCCAGGAAGAGCGAGGGCCGTGTGTGCACACATGCCTATGCATGCCCGTGGGCTTCGCACACACCTCTGCATAGCCAAATGTGTGCAACTAGCTGGACGTGGTCACACATGCCTGTAATCCCAGCACGGAGGAGACCGAGGCAGAAAGATCATAAATGTGATACGCTGTCTCTTTAAAAAAAATAAAGTATATAAATTCCTGAGTAACTTCTGTTTAGAAAGTCATACTAAGCAAGGCATAGTGGCTCATCCAGTAATCCAAGCTCAGGAGGCTGAGCTCAAGAGGATCTCAGTTCAAAACTAGCCTAGGGGAATAAGTAAGACTACATCTCAGCTACCCAACAGGGCAAGGCAGTTCATGTCTGTAGTCCCAGCTGTGGAGAAGCATTAGATAGGATGATTGAGGTCTGAGGATAATTCCAGACAAAAGTGCAAGAGTCCTTATCCAAACAATGAATGCAAAAAAAATGTAGAGAAGCCAGGCACTGGTGGCTTAGGCCTGTCACCCTAGCTACTCAGGAGGCTGAGATCTGAGGATCACGGTTCAAAGCCAGCCAGGGCAGGAAAGTCTGTGAGACTCTTATCTCCAATAAAACACTAGAAAACCGGAAGTGGTGCTGTAGCTCAAGTGGTAGAGCACTCGCCTTGAGCTGAAGAGCTGAGGAGAGAGCCCAGGCCGAGTTCAAGCCCTATGACTGACAAAAAAGGAGGGAGGGGGGCAGGAGAAAGGGTGAGGGTAGAGTGCTTGTGCTTGCAAGGAAGCCAAAGTCAAACCAGGACTCACAATTCTTAGTGTTCTCACTTGGTTGGCCAAAGAAGAGAAGTTCTTCAGAGCTACTTAAGACTGCAGTGTCAGGACTTGCATGTCAAGTGGAGGGACTTTTCAGAATACAGCTATGGAACAGAAGCTAGGCACACGCTGACGCGTCAACCCTGCAGTGGCTTTCAAAGCACAAGCGGCAGGGCCTTTGCCTGCTGAGGCATTGCCTAGAGAGTCACGCAAGTCCTTTTTTTTTGGGGGGGGGAGGGGTCTGGTTGTGGGGCCTGAACTCTGGGCCTGGGTGCTGTCCCTCAGCTCTTCAGCTCAAGGCTAGCGCTCTACCACTTGAACCACAGCGCCACTTCTGGCATTTTTCTTTTTGCTTATGTGGTGCTGAGGAATCGAACCCAGGGCCTCTGGCATGCAAGGCAAGCGCTCTACCACTGAGCCACCTTCCCAGCCCCATGCAAGTCCTTTAAGAAGACTGTAGCACAGAGCAGGGCTTCAGGGCTCACGCCTGTAATCCCAGCTACTTAGGGGGTTGAGATCTGCGGCTCAAGGTTCAGAGCCAGCCAGGCAGAAAAGTGCATCAGGCTCATGTCCAATTAATCACCAGAAAACTGGAAGTGGTAGAGCCTTAGCCTTGAGTAAAAGAGCTCAGGAACAGCACCCAGGCCCCAAGTTCAAGTCCCATGACAGACAAAAAATAAGTGGTATATGTATACACATTTATAATACATACACAGTTTAAATGACTGAGAAGATACGGACATTTGAAGTCCTGGGCTTGAACTCTGAGCCTGGACGCTGTCCCTGAGCTTTTCACTAAAGGCTAGCCACTCTACCACTTGAGCCACAGCTTTACTTCTGGCTTTTGGGAGATGGGGGTTAATTGGAGATGACTCCCATGGACTTTTCCGCCCGGGCTGACTTCAGATCCTCAGATCTCAGCCTCCTGTGTAGCTAGAATTGCAGGTGTGAGCCATCGGCACTTGGCTCCACTGTGAACATAAATGAAATAAAAGGAGGCACAGAGCCGGGTGCTGGTGGCTCCCGCCTGTCATCCCAGCTCCTCAGGAGGCTGAGGTCTGAGGATCGCAGTTCAAAGCCAGCCCGGGCAGGAAAGTCCGTGAGACTCTTATCTCCAATAAACTACCAGAAAACCAGAAGTGGCGCTGTGGCTCAAGTGGCAGAGCGCTCGCCTTGAGCTGAAGAGCTGAGGGACAGCGCCCAGGCCCAGAGTTCAGGCCCCACGACTGACAAAAATTTTTTTAAAAGGAGGCACAAAACTTCCTCTCACCTGTGCTGGTTTTTCATATTGAAGTAAAGTTAGGAATAAAACAGAAACAATCGCTGAAGATGGCTGTTGAGCAGTTTGGGGACTTCTGGAATTGATTCATGTGTAAGTAGGCGCACGTGTAACATGTTTTATTTGGTGTCTAGTTGGCTTGTGTAATAGAAAGGTAGAATAATCTGCCCGTCAGGCTGGCGGGAGCCGCTCGCCCCCCATGCCTCCCGTGGACAGCAGCCCCAGCATGAGCTGCGTGGGAGAGAAGGTTCTGGGTGGGGGTGAGTTTGCCAGGTGGCTGGGGTCTTCCATGGAGCCAGCTCTGCTCCCAAGTGTGGGTTGTTAACCGCCAAGCGGCAGCCCAGCCACCCAGGTAGAAGGTTCTAGATAGAACCAGGTTCTGGGCCGATGTGCAGGAAGGTACCCCCTGCAAGCCCTGTCTCCCCTCGCCGTCCTCGTCCCAGCCTCGTGAGGACTGTTACCCCCCCCTTGACAGATGAAGAAACTGAGGCCTGGAGGGAGATGCCCCCACCCCAGGCTGGGCCTGGGCGAGCCTGTACCCCACCACGGGCCCCTGAGCCGGGCAGGGCCACCCCGCGTGGGCCTCGCGTACCTTCAGCCGGTCCCTGAAGCCCAGGACCTGGTACTCCAGCTCGCGGAGCTGCGGCTGCGCGGGGCCCGTGGACCGCAGCAGCTCCAGCACCTCCTTCAGGGGTCTTGCGGGGGCCCCTGCGGGCCTGTCCTCTCGGTCCCCGTCTTCTTCCTCCTGCCCCTTCTGGCTTGGTGGGAGGCCGGGGCTGTGGAACCGGAGGCCCCGGGGCGGGGGGGGGCGGCCGTCCACCCCCGGCTTGCTCCAGCCAGGCCGCCGCAGGCCGGGGCCCCGGGGCGGGCCGGCCAGCTCGGGCAGCAGGCCCAGGGGCAGGGGGGCGGCCCCGGCCTCCTCCACGGAGGGGGCAGGGCTGATGCCCGAGGGCAGGAAGCCCACGTCCAAGGTGGACGCCGACGTGGGGGCCTCCTCTCGGGGGTCCTCGGAGCTGAAGGAGTCCATCTCCAGTGGCTCCTGGCTCTGGCTGCGCAGGCCCGGGCCCCGGAGGCCACCGTTGGACAGGGGGCTGAAGACGGAGGTGGTCCGGGGTGTGCCCAGCAGCGCCAGTGGCTGTAGAAAGAGGGGTGTGGGACCCGAGCGCCTCACCAGCCACCCGGGCCGGAGAGCCCCGCCCTGCAAGCCCCAGCCCACGAGGGAGGCGGGCGTCCCCGGGCCCCGCCCCTCTACCTGTCCTCCCCCCAGCTCCCATGCCACCTGTGCCCTGAACCCCGAGGGCTTGAACTGGGGAGGGGAAACTGCACCAGAAGCGCCCCAGGGGACCCCAAGGGAGGCTGACCCCACCTCCTGCCCCCCTGGGACCATTGTGTCCCTGGCCCCAGGGGCTCACCAGGTAGTATCTTTCCCGGAAGCTGGGGGTGCTTGGGGGCGTCCAGCTGTACACCGAGCCCTTCCTGCTGCCCAGAGAATACTTGCCCACGGAGCTGGGCGACACCAAGGTGCCCTCTGAGCTGAAGGGGCTGCAAACGAGACAACTGGCCTTGGTCCCTAGAACCGGGGAGCCACGGGCACTGCAGGGCACAGGTGGGCCCAGGGGGGTTGTGGTTCCCAGCTGCTGTGTCCAAAAACTCGGAAACAAAGGGCTCTGCTGAATTCTTTTTTGTTGTTGTTGGTCATGGGGCTTGAACTCTGGGCCTGGGCACTGTCCCTCAGCTCTTCAGCTCAAGGCAAGTGCTCTACCACTTGAGCCACAGCACCACTTCCGGTGTTCTAGTGGTTTATTAGAGATAAGGGTCTCACGGACTTTCCTGCTAGGGCTGGCTTTGAACCGTGATCCTCAGATCTCAGCCTCCTGAGTAGCTAGGATGACAGGCCCCTGGCCCCTGCTGAATTCTTCACATGAAGTTTTCTTTCCACTCTGCTGGGAGTGGGAGGAACAGCTCCAGGACAAGGAATGTGAATGGATAGAACTGAATTCGCACCCAGCTCCGACCCTGAGCCGTAACACATCCACAACCGATGCTGGGGGCTTGGCTGGCCTGGTGTGCCCGGGCGGCCTCACACAGGAGCTGGAACCCAGTGCCACCCTCCCCAAGGTCGCAGCCAGCCTAGGGCTACAAGGCTCACGAGACCTGGCTGTAGCTGGGGGACCTGGGGCGCCTGCGTGGGCTCTGGTGGCCGGCAGGGCCAGCCAGGGCTGGACAGCACGGGCCGCCTGCTGTCCCACACGCTGCAGGGGCTCTGGGCAACGGCCAGCATGGGTCCCGCAAGGCCAGAACCCTCCGCGCATGCTTGGGGGTGGAGCAAAAGGGGGCGGGACCCACTCACTTCCACAACACCTCCAGCTGCAGCTTGACGGTGCCCAGCTCAGTGATGTCCACCACAATGACCTGCGGCCGGGTCGTGAAGAAGTCGGCCGTGTCACAGGACACAGCGCCCACCGCCAGGGAGCTCAGGCCCCGCTGCTCTGTCACCTGGGGGTGGGGGGTGAGGGTGGACTCTGAGCGGGCAGGGGTGCCTGGCCCCACGCGCCTGCCCCGCCAGACCCTAACCCCCAGGCTCTGGCGCAGGCCCCGCCCCCACCTTAATGTCCAGGCTCTCATGCACCATGGGCACAAAGGCCTTCTCCTCCTCGTCCCAGGTCTGGCTGTCATCCGACTCGATCCGGCCCTTCAGCTTCCAGCGCTGGCGGCCCAGACGCATGAGCACCTGCGGGCAGTGCCCAGCAGGCACACTGGGTCAGCTTAAGGGGGTCACTCAGGCTGCCTGTCTGGGACCCCCCTCACTGCCCCTCAGTGTCCTCACTGCCCCTCAGTGTCCTCACTGCACCTCAGTGTCCTCACTGCACCTCAGTGTCCTCACTGCCCCTCAGAGTCCTCACTGCCCCTCAGAGTCCTCACTGCACCTCAGTGTCCACCCCTCACTGCCCCTCAGTGTCCTCCCCTCACTGCACCTCAGTGCCCTCACTGCCCCTCAGTGTCCTCCCCTCACTGCAGCTCAGTGTCCTCACTGCCCCTCAGTGTCCTCACTGCACCTCAGTGCCCTCACTGCACCCCAGTGTCCTCACTGCCCCTCAGTGTCCTCACTGCGCCTCAGTGTCCTCACTGCACCTCAGTGTCCTCACTACACCTCAGAGTCCACACTGCACCTCAGAGTCCACACTGCCCCTCAGTGCCCTCACTGCACCTCAGTGTCCTCACTGCAGCCCAGTGCCCTCACTGCCTCTCAGTGTCCTCACTGCACCTCAGAGTCCACACTGCACCTCAGTGTCCTCACTGCACCTCAGAGTCCTCACTGCCCCTCAGTGCCCTCACTGCCCCTCAGTGTCCTCCCCTCACTGCACCTCAGTGTCCTCACTGCACCTCAGTGTCCTCACTGCACCTCAGAGTCCTCACTGCCCCTCAGTGTCCTCACTACACCTCAGAGTCCTCACTGCCCCTCAGTGCCCTCACTGCCCCTCAGTGTCCTCCCCTCACTGCACCTCAGTGTCCTCACTGCACCTCAGAGTCCTCACTGCCCCTCAGTGCCCTCACTGCCCCTCAGTGCCCTCACTGCACCTCAGTGTCCTCACTGCACCCCAGTGCCCTCACTGCCCCTCAGTGTCCTCACTGCACCTCAGAGTCCACACTGCACCTCAGTGTCCTCACTGCACCTCAGAGTCCTCACTGCCCCTCAGTGCCCTCACTGCCCCTCAGTGTCCTCCCCTCACTGCACCTCAGTGTCCTCACTGCCCCTCAGTGTCCTCACTGCACCTCAGTGTCCTCACTGCCCCTCAGTGCCCTCACTGCAGCTCAGTGTCCTCACTGCACCTCAGTGTCCTCACTGCACCTCAGAGTCCTCACTGCACCTCAGAGTCCTCACTGCCCCTCAGTGCCCTCACTGCCCCTCAGTGCCCTCACTGCCGCTCAGTGTCCTCACTGCCCCTCAGTGCCCTCACTGCCCCTCAGTGTCCTCACTGCACCTCAGAGTCCTCACTGCCCCTCAGTGTCCTCACTGCCGCTCAGTGTCCTCACTGCCCCTCAGTGCCCTCACTGCCCCTCAGTGTCCTCACTGCACCTCAGAGTCCTCACTGCCCCTCAGTGTCCTCACTGCCCCTCAGTGTCCTCACTGCACCTCAGTGTCTCCCCTCACTGCCCCTCATTGCCCTCACTGCCCCTCAGAGTCCTCACTGCCCCTCAGAGTCCTCACTGCCCCTCAGAGTCCTCACTGCCCCGCAGTGTCCTCACTGCCCCTCAGTGCCCTCACTGCCGCTCAGTGCCCTCACTGCCCCTCAGTGCCCTCACTGCCCCTCAGTGTCCTCACTGCCCCTCAGTGTCCTCACTGCCCCTCAGTGTCCTCACTGCACCTCAGTGTCCTCACTGCACCTCAGTGTCCTCACTGCACCTCAGAGTCCTCACCGCCCCTCAGTGCCCTCACTGCACCTCAGTGTCCTCACTGCACCTCAGAGTCCTCACTGCACCTCAGAGTCCTCACTGCCCCTCAGTGCCCTCACTGCCCCTCAGTGCCCTCACTGCCGCTCAGTGTCCTCACTGCCCCTCAGTGCCCTCACTGCCCCTCAGTGTCCTCACTGCACCTCAGAGTCCTCACTGCCCCTCAGTGTCCTCACTGCCCCTCAGTGTCCTCACTGCACCTCAGTGTCTCCCCTCACTGCCCCTCATTGCCCTCACTGCCCCTCAGAGTCCTCACTGCCCCTCAGAGTCCTCACTGCCCCTCAGAGTCCTCACTGCCCCGCAGTGTCCTCACTGCCCCTCAGTGCCCTCACTGCCGCTCAGTGCCCTCACTGCCCCTCAGTGCCCTCACTGCCCCTCAGTGCCCTCACTGCCCCTCAGTGTCCTCACTGCCCCTCAGTGTCCTCACTGCACCTCAGTGTCCTCACTGCACCTCAGAGTCCTCACTGCCCCTGAGTCCTCACTGCCCCTCAGAGTCCTCACTGCAGCTCAGTGCCCTCACTGCCCCTCAGTGTCCTCACTGCCCCTCAGTGTCCTCACTGCACCTCAGTGTCCTCACTGCACCTCAGAGTCTCCCCTCACTGCAGCTCAGTGTCCTCACTGCACCTCAGAGTCCTCACTGCAGCTCAGTGTCCTCACTGCACCTCAGAGTCCTCACTGCCCCTCAGTGTCCTCACTGCCCCTCAGTGCCCTCACTGCCCCTCAGTGCCCTCACTGCAGCTCAGTGTCCTCACTGCCCCTCAGTGTCCTCACTGCCCCTCAGTGTCCTCACTGCCCCTCAGAGTCCTCACTGCCCCTCAGTGCCCTCACTGCCCCTCAGTGCCCTCACTGCCCCTCAGTGTCCTCCCCTCACTGCACCTCAGTGTCCTCACTGCACCTCAGTGTCCTCACTGCACCTCAGAGTCCTCACTGCCCCTCAGTGTCCTCACTACACCTCAGAGTCCTCACTGCCCCTCAGTGCCCTCACTGCCCCTCAGTGTCCTCCCCTCACTGCACCTCAGTGTCCTCACTGCACCTCAGAGTCCTCACTGCCCCTCAGTGCCCTCACTGCCCCTCAGTGCCCTCACTGCACCTCAGTGTCCTCACTGCACCCCAGTGCCCTCACTGCCCCTCAGTGTCCTCACTGCACCTCAGAGTCCACACTGCACCTCAGTGTCCTCACTGCACCTCAGAGTCCTCACTGCCCCTCAGTGCCCTCACTGCCCCTCAGTGTCCTCCCCTAACTGCACCTCAGTGTCCTCACTGCACCTCAGTGTCCTCACTGCACCTCAGAGTCCTCACTGCCACTCAGTGTCCTCACGGCCCCTCAGTGCCCTCACTGCCCCTCAGTGCCCTCACTGCCCCTCAGTGTCCTCACTGCACCTCAGTGTCCTCACTGCCCCTCAGTGCCCTCACTGCCCCTCAGTGCCCTCACTGCAGCTCAGTGTCCTCACTGCCCCTCAGTGTCCTCACTGCCCCTCAGAGTCCTCACTGCCCCTCAGTGCCCTCACTGCCCCTCAGTGCCCTCACTGCAGCTCAGTGCCCTCACTGCACCTCAGTGTCCTCACTGCCCCTCAGTGTCCTCACTGCACCTCAGAGTCCTCACTGCCCCTCAGTGCCCTCACTGCCCCTCAGTGCCCTCACTGCCGCTCAGTGTCCTCACTGCCCCTCAGTGCCCTCACTGCCCCTCAGTGTCCTCACTGCACCTCAGAGTCCTCACTGCCCCTCAGTGTCCTCACTGCCCCTCAGTGTCCTCACTGCACCTCAGTGTCTCCCCTCACTGCCCCTCATTGCCCTCACTGCCCCTCAGTGTCCTCACTGCACCTCAGAGTCCTCACTGCCCCTCAGAGTCCTCACTGCCCCTCAGAGTCCTCACTGCAGCTCAGTGCCCTCACTGCCCCTCAGTGTCCTCACTGCCCCTCAGTGTCCTCACTGCCCCTCAGTGTCCTCACTGCACCTCAGTGTCCTCACTGCACCTCAGAGTCTCCCCTCACTGCAGCTCAGTGTCCTCACTGCACCTCAGAGTCCTCACTGCAGCTCAGTGTCCTCACTGCACCTGAGTCCTCACTGCCCCTCAGTGTCCTCACTGCCCCTCAGAGTCCTCACTGCCCCTCAGTGTCCTCACTGCACCTCAGTGTCCTCACTGCCCCTCAGTGCCCTCACTGCCCCTCAGTGTCCTCACTGCACCTCAGTGTCCTCACTGCCCCTCAGTGCCCTCACTGCCCCTCAGTGCCCGCACTGCAGCTCAGTGTCCTCACTGCCCCTCAGTGTCCTCACTGCCCCTCAGAGTCCTCACTGCCCCTCAGTGCCCTCACTGCCCCTCAGTGCCCTCACTGCAGCTCAGTGTCCTCACTGCACCTCAGTGTCCTCACTGCCCCTCAGTGTCCTCACTGCACCTCAGAGTCCTCACTGCCCCTCAGTGCCCTCACTGCCCCTCAGTGCCCTCACTGCCGCTCAGTGTCCTCACTGCCCCTCAGTGCCCTCACTGCCCCTCAGTGTCCTCACTGCACCTCAGAGTCCTCACTGCCCCTCAGTGTCCTCACTGCCCCTCAGTGTCCTCACTGCCCCTCAGTGTCCTCACTGCACCTCAGTGTCCTCACTGCACCTCAGAGTCTCCCCTCACTGCAGCTCAGTGTCCTCACTGCACCTCAGAGTCCTCACTGCAGCTCAGTGTCCTCACTGCACCTCAGAGTCCTCACTGCCCCTCAGTGTCCTCACTGCCCCTCAGAGTCCTCACTGCCCCTCAGTGCCCTCACTGCCCCTCAGTGCCCTCACTGCCCCTCAGTGTCCTCCCCTCACTGCACCTCAGTGTCCTCACTGCACCTCAGTGTCCTCACTGCACCTCAGAGTCCTCACTGCCCCTCAGTGTCCTCACTACACCTCAGAGTCCTCACTGCCCCTCAGTGCCCTCACTGCCCCTCAGTGTCCTCCCCTCACTGCACCTCAGTGTCCTCACTGCACCTCAGAGTCCTCACTGCCCCTCAGTGCCCTCACTGCCCCTCAGTGCCCTCACTGCACCTCAGTGTCCTCACTGCACCCCAGTGCCCTCACTGCCCCTCAGTGTCCTCACTGCACCTCAGAGTCCACACTGCACCTCAGTGTCCTCACTGCACCTCAGAGTCCTCACTGCCCCTCAGTGCCCTCACTGCCCCTCAGTGTCCTCCCCTCACTGCACCTCAGTGTCCTCACTGCACCTCAGTGTCCTCACTGCACCTCAGAGTCCTCACTGCCACTCAGTGTCCTCACGGCCCCTCAGTGCCCTCACTGCCCCTCAGTGCCCTC